AAACTGTCTTGGAAATAATGGATGAGCAATTGATCATTATTAGTTTGTGCATACATCTTTCTAGCATACATGATGAGATGACTCTGAGGACAAGTATTTCCTTTGTACTTCTCAAAATCAGGGACCTTAAACTTTGGCGGAACCTTAACATTCGAAACCAAACATAAGTCAGAAACACTCTTTCCGAACAAATCCTTTCCACGAAGAGCTTTTAATTCTTTTTGAATCTCAGAAAATTGGTCCTGAAATCCATCCATCCTTTCTTCAAAACCCGCAGCTTCACTCGGTGACTCATGGAAAATTGGTTCGTCTAGGACACATGGAGTAGTATTCATTTGCGGAGGTGATGTAGTCAACACAGCAGTTGCAGGAATGGTTTGAATAGTGGTTATGGCAGGGACCTCAGAGACAGGCGGGCGATAGCCAGCAGGAGTGAAATGAGGAGGCATCCCCCACGGGAAACCTGGTGGCATGTTGTATGTCACTTCAGCAACAATAGACACCACTGGGATCGGTGCTGACACAACTTCGAAGATAACAACTCTTGGAACATCCTGATTGTTGAGCGTAGACTGGTTGGACAGAGCTTCAACTAAACCATTTAGTCTCTCCAAGCTTTCTTTCAGAATTGCAACCTCGTCACGGAGCACCTTGTTCTCTTATTCAAGTTGATCCATCTTTTGACGTTGATTGGCGCGAGTGTTGTACTGGTGATTCAGTTTGTCTATGAAGATGAAACAAGAGTGAGACCCCCCCCCCCCCCGAAATGCAAAGGATGCTATGCTGATGCAAAATGCAAAATGCAAATGCAAGAATGCAAAACGAAAGGTTTCATGGAACTCAAGTATTTATAAACGTCACAGAGTACCCAAAGAAAACTCGTTTATTATTTTTTGATATCGATTACAAATAAACATTGTTATAAGAGTCCTGACCTAATAGCTAAATAAAAGCTAATAAAGTCCTAAGGAAGTCCTTCATCGTGCTTGTTGATTTGCTCTTCTATCTGGACTTTCTTGAATATAAGTTGTTCAAGATCAGCTTCTAAGGAATATTCTGATAGAGGAAAATAAATCCTTCATCTCTCTTCTTTTCTTTGCTGGAAAATAAGGAAGGAATCCCTTGTTTATTTGGATCTTCAATATTGATGAAAGTCTTTTGAACTTCTATTGATCTTCGATGGGAGCTTCTAATTTCTTTAGGTCATCCAGGTTAGGACTCTTAAAAGAATATTTCAAAATATTTTTCTTTTGTAATCCCTATTTGTTCTATAATGTTTACAAATAAACTCGAAGTTCCGTGAAACTGATGCACTATGATGCTTTATGGATGCAACAAACATAGGTAAGCACATAGAGATACAAAGATAAACAAACAAGAAAGTCCTAGGTTTGCAACGAGCATGGAGCAAAGGGTATACCCATTCCTAAAGGATGTGGACTAAAGGTTGATTGTACTTGTAGAACAAGGTTCTAAAGAGGTTCCCAAAGTCACTAGTCCATCTTTCGGATATTATCAATTTCTCAATTACTCGGTGATTAATAATATTCTCAAGAGAACTTCTTTTGACTGTAGCATTGCGTAGCAACTATTTTGGGAGTACTCCCTCATAGTCCTCGCACTACATCCTAATAAAGGCCAAAGTGGGGTTAAAGGTAACTACGGTCCTCAATATCACAGGCTCCAAGGTAAAAAATAGTGAATGTTTTCACGATTAACTCGTTCAACAGTACTTTTTTCGAGAGGGCCTCAATTGAGCGTGATTCTCAAGTCAACTTGGTCGAGATTCAACTTCCTATAAGCCTCGTCGAATATATCATCATCCTATCTTAAGTTCACTCAAGTCCGGGTGTAGGACTTTGTCTCACCACTCAAAGATATCAACCCAAAAGCAATAGATAAACAATCATACATATAAATAAATAATCAAATATAACAATAAACAAGCAAAATAAACAAGTTAGGGAAACCCACTGAAGAGATTCCCCAGTGAAGTCGCCATTTCTGTCGCGGTGAAAATCGGATACCAAGCTATTGATGAGCTTGAATCTAAATTCATTACAACCGGTCTTTTATTTGTTCAAAGGAAGGTAAAAAGATTGAATTACCCATAATGCAAAAGCTAGAGAGTTTAGGTTCGGGGGTTGGTTAAACTTAGGGAAGGTGCCAGCATCCTAAGTTTCTATAGTACTCTACAGGAACCTCTTGTTTTATGTTGTTTATTGCTAAGGGTTATCTGCTTAAGGATAAAAGACCTAATGGTTTATTTCTAAGTATACTCGCCAAGACGTCGCATCTTGTACCTACATATCCTGACGGGAATGGAATCAGAGTAATTGTAGTTCCCCTAAAGGGTTTGAGGAATTCTTTGACTATGGTCAAAGTTCCTACGAGATAAGGTAGTTGATTGAATGGTTTTAAGAGAAAAGACGAGTTGTCATCTCGAAGGAGATTACTTGACTTAACCACCACAACTTGTAGGAAAATAGTCTTTGTATCGTCTTGAGAGAAGGGATTAGAAACTCGGATTATGATCGACGAGTATGCCACTATCACTCTCAAGGCGAAAAAGTCCCTACATATTGATTGTATTGTTATGGAGGCAGGAGATTTATATCTGGACTGTCAAGATGACTCATGTCTTATTCTCTAATGTGTTTGAATAATTTGAATTGAGTTGATTTTTTTTCTATGTTGTAAAGATAAAAGAAAAAAGGTCCTCCTTATGGGGTAGGATCTATCTTAAGAGATCAAACTGAATGGGATCAAGGATCAAATGGGGAATTATGATGCAAATGAAATGCATACGCGCAAGTTTTACGTTATGCGCAAGTTCTTCCTTTGAATGCTATGCAACGTGATAAAATAAATTGCAGGAAGGTAAAAGACAATAAATATAAATTGCGGATAAAGTAAAAGCATACACAAACTCATGAAAGTGCTAAGATAAGTGAGTGCAAGTGAATAGGTGGATGGGACGGAGCGAAAACGCAAGCGTGCACGATTGATTGAGTTACGATGTTTGATTAATTTTAGTCGAATTGATTTTAGGAAAATGGTTGAATTCACTTTAAGTGAAATTGATTTTAGGGAAAAAGTTATATTGGATTTTATATAGAAGATTTTTTTTAAGTCATAGATTAATTAAATTAATTAATAAATAAAATCTTAGTTATTATTAATAAGTTTTAATATTATAAAAGAGAGTTGTTATTATTAGATAAAAACAAATTAAAAAGAAATTCATTATTATAATTTTTAGTTGCAATTTACTTAGGAAAAATAATTTTATTATTATTTAAGGAATTAATAAAAATAGAAAAAAAGGTTTATTTAAGTATACTATAAAAGGTTATTAGTTTTCTATTTATTTATAAAAGAGTCTAATTAAAATTATTAGATTAATTAGTTAATTAACACAATAAGAAGAATCAAATAAAAAAGATTAAACGGTTTATTAAATAAAAATATTAAATTGTTTACTAGATTAAAAAGGTTATTATCTTAATTTATAAAAGGTTGATTAATGTTGATTGGTTAATTAATTAATTAAAGAAATTAATTATTAATTAAGTTAATGAGTAGATTAGGAGTTCAATTAATTAGTGGAGCGTGTGATTGGGTGTGAGTGCGCAGACGAAGGTTTACCGTGGTCGAGCAGATGTGGCTGTGTGATGAGATCCGTTGTAGATCTGAGTGTCATGGGTGTGAGGGTTCCGACGGCTTCGACGGTGAATGGTTGAGGTTCGTAGACGGAGACGGTGAGGGCGATTTTTGGCGGTTGCTGTGAAGGTGAACCCGTGGCGGAAGGAAAGGAAAGATAAGCTCTCTCACTTTTGATTTATGAATTTGTGGTTTGATCTGGGATTTTCATATTGTTGTTGTTCTTCCTCCCCCCCCCCCCCCCCCCCCCCCCCCGTCTTCATCAAAGTGTGTGCTTTTATAGGCTCATTCCTCTTAGTTTCTGATTTTGGATTAAATGTGAGATCATTGTTGTCGAATCTGGTTTAGGAAAGTTTGTGATTTTTCTATGGGATTCTGGGATTGCTGTGAACTGGTGCGTGTTCTTGTTGTTGTTTGTGAGTGTCTGAATCATTCTTATATAGGGTTGCAGGGAACAATGTAGATTGAAGACTAAGAATGAGGTTTCCAATTCAGGAGGAGCATGTTTGGACCACTTCGGAAGGTACTATTATGTGTTACGAAAGTTTCCGTTTTTGTCGAGATTGCCCTTTTTATTTCTTAACAAAGTGTGATATTGAGGTTTCAATTTCTCAAACAGGTTTTATTTGTTTCAGGTGATCCTGCAATTTTGTTTCCTTTTCATACACTTTCCGCCTCCAATGTTTGTGAGTTGTTTTCGGAAAGATTTGAACACGTTAGGGTCCTTCTCTTTCATCTTGACAGCTATGTTATTAATACTTGATGGTAATTAACAGAGGTTTTGCTATTCTTTCATAACTTTGTGATTGTGTATACTCCCAATGCGTAACTATATTGCTGTGGTGGTTTTACTTTTCCATGTTTTCTTCCAGGTTCTTTTGTTTTGTTAATTTATCTAATGGCTTAAGGCTTATAGCCTTCCTTTTGGTTTGGCAATTTTGACAGCTCTGGGAGGTAGATGGGATGCTGCAGCTGGGCGATATTACCATGTGATGCGACAAAAAACGGAAAATTCTATCGCTCTCCAAAATGGATCTCCTTACGAATTAACTTTTCCTTGTGTTTCCTTAAATAGAGCGACGAACTGCTATTATAAAAAGTCTTAAGTCTTAATTCAATGTCATGTGCTTTGCATGTGCTTCAATCCTCGATGTAATCCCCTGTTCGACCTTGCTGCCGGCCCATGTGGGAAAGCATGAACTACTAGGAAAGAACCTCTGTGCCCTGACTTATATATATATTTTTTTCACCGCTGGCATATCTTGGAGAGTCTTGTTCCACGTCTACAGACCTGATGCCGATTTCCTTTTCGGTAAATGTTAGATTTTCTTGTCAAAATGAGGACTTATGCCTTGTGCTTTGAACTGATCCTTTATGGTTTGTTATCTTGTCTGCAACCAAAACCTTATCCAGGAAAGTCTGTTACTGCAAAACATTTTGTGGCAATCTTCCTAACCACATATTCCTTTGTTTCAAGTGCACGCACAGGCGCAGTGAGGATAAAACTTGGAGAGTCACTCACAACACAACCTGGTATGATATCGCGCCTGAGCTCCTATTCTTCCATTCATCCATTAATTAACCATGTTATGCCGGTTTGATTTGCAGACTGCTGAAAAAGAGGTTACGGAGCAGAATTCCCTTAATGCTTACCAGCTCCGCCTTTACCACTGTGGAAACATGTATGCGGTGTAATGTTAGCGTCAACGGAGTGCTTACGACAGTTACTTCTGAGTGTAAAATGGCCTTTCCGTCGCTGAAGTGTGAACCCGCTCGAAGATGGAGATTTTCAAACCATGGCACACTACCCTGCGGAAAACGTCTCAGTAAATTGTTTTCAAATTCGCCCCCTTGTAAACAAAACAAACATTCTGTCCTTATAAATATCAAACTGTGTTGCAATACTTGTACTTTAGGATATTGAAATCCTCTTTTGATGTAATTGTAAAACTCCCTGAATATTTTTAATATGAAGCTTTAGAAATACTTGAGTTTGTTACCTTCGCCGTTTACGACATAATTAATTGGTACTTAGTAATAACACGCCAGTTCATCAAACACGTTCATGGTTTATCCGCTCCTGGCTTACCTTTTAAGCTACGCACATGACCTTTTTATGAAAGAAGTAAACCTTAAAATCTTGGAATGGGACTTGATAAACTTGGATGAAATCAAACTAAGGTTGCTTGTAAAACTTTATTTTCAAGGAAGTAAAAACTTGCGTTTTAGAGCCAAGAGTGATTGAGAAACACAAATCAAGCCTTGATCGAGAATGACTTGCAAAATCCATCCTTGTGCCAAACTCTTATTCGGGTCTTGAAATTGGTTGGGGGCTTGCAATCCGGATTGCTGTTTAAATCTCCAAGGATCCCATATGCTTAACTATGGCGTACTAGTGTATGTTGGACTTTTCCTTTTGAAAGTAAAGTGCGAATTGAGGCAGTTTAACCATATCTGGAGAAGTCTTGAACTACATCCATGGTAAGGAAGGCATCTGTTGTAACCAACCTAAAGGCTGAGGCCTTGTTGAGGACAGTGGCCACTGACCCTTGATGTGCTTGACTGTGGGAATAAATATCGTCTACATTTGGGATCAATGTACCTGCACACGCTTGTTAGTCACACATAAGAGTTAAACAAGGATAAAACAAGAAAACACACAAGGAGGTGGAATCTTAAGGTCAAAAATTAGGGTGTGACAGGATGATGTCTTAACTAATGCTTGAAACATATTCTCAGTTGGTTATCTCTCTAGAAAGGAAATTTGTTTATCCATGGGAGGTAATTTGGAGTTTATGGTGTAGAGTTTGTTACTTACTAGTTGAATTAGAAGTGAGTTATCTATCTATTGTGGAGTATGGTCAAGACTGTGGATTCTGATTACCTGTGAGCAGATGGTAGGTTTTGCTGGAAGTATCTCTAGAAAATATTATATCAGGTTAAATCTTGGGAAGGAAGTAGGTTGAGGATGTACCTCTCTTCATATGATGAATGAGTTTGATGTCTTCCAAGTATGGATGATATCATGGCTAACCAAATAGTTAAAAGAATTTGTATGTCTCTTTTTGGGATGTGAGCATTCCATGTTTGATTGGATTTTTTTCTCAAAGAACAAGGTTGTCTATAGCTGTAAGGTTCAACATGGATTTGTACAGTGCGTGGATCTGTTCAGGGGGTGAGTGATCAATGGTGTTATTTGATCTCAATCCAAGGGTTTATTGGTTATGGTACAAGAATTGTGATCGTGTTTTTATCTCTCTTATGAGCATGAAGGTGTTCATGTGATTCATGTGAGAATGTGATGTCAGACTAAATGTTTTAAAATCTTGGTGTGTTGACACTTTAGCTTAGTAAGTTTTGCTTGTGTGCTTGACTTGTTCAGACTATTGAATTATTTCAACTATATTCATGATTCTTAGAAAATACCTGAGAAGCATGATTGGATATTGTCTGGGAGAATTTATTTTTCTCTGTAGATTGGGATAAGGTCCATGGAAGATTGTGTTGATAAATGGGAGATGTCACATACTATCTTGACATCATGGTTAGGATTTTCTAATTCTGGCTAAAAGAAGTATGATTGGAGTTCATTGGAAGACACTGTGAATATGCTTCAAAATATACAAGAGAGAGTAAACAAGGACTGGTTGGGTGTTAGGACATTGTTTAGGACTCGTGGCCCTATGTGGGCGGTGTTACTTGGACGGTGGAAAACGTGCCTTAAAGAGGGTGTGCAAGACATGTTTCTTTGCTACATACATAGTCTTTGGATAGTTCTCATTAAAAAAGAAACAGTCAAAACTGAGTTGGTCGGTGTACACTCATTTATGCTGAAGTTATCTTACTCAATTTACTCTTTCATTGAATTGTCCTTCGGTTATATCAATGGATCATTAATTTCTAAGGAAACTGCTCGGGTATTTAAAAGGGGTCTTACTTCTTTTGTCTCAGGTTGTGTTTCTTTTGTTGTGTCGAGTCTTTATGGCCTTTTACTGGGTTTGGGTGAGTACTATTTGGGTATGGAACTGTGTTGGATACCTTAGTCAATTTTTGGCTAAAAATGGGGGAGATAGGATGTGTGTCTATCTCAATTGTGTGTTGTTCCTTTCAACACATGACTGATATTTTTTGTGTGGTCTGAGTCTGTTCTTGAAATTGTTTTACAAGGATGTTAGATATGATGCTCTAACATCCTGTCTGTGTCTTAGTTTTTTTTGTTCTGAGTCTTCTTTTTGTGTCTTGTAATCTGAGTTATAAACACAATTGTGTCTTGTGTTATGAGTTATTTAGAACTGGGGTCTGCTCTTCTAAGCCCTGATCTGGATAATGGAGGATGGTAAATTAGGACTGGTTTTGAGGGGGAGTTAGTGTCTTGTATCTTCTTCCTCCTGTACACCAGGATTCAGGGTTATGGGCAAACTATGACAAAATGGAGTACTATTATCAGATCTGTCGGTTCCCCAAAGAGACGGTTATAGCAAACTCCCGGACCGCCCGCATGTTGTGTTATGCGAAAAACCTGACGGTCTCCGATAGAATGTTGCACTATATAATCTGTTATGTTCTGATTCCCAAGGATTCAAATCATGCCCAAATTAATGATCTGGAAATGCAACTTCTTTTTGCCATCAAGAACAAGATTCGTGTCAATTGGATTCTGACCATCATGTATCACCTTCAACAACAACTATCTCTTTCAACCCGTCTTCCGTATGCAAGGCTGGTGTCAAGAATTTTGAAGCTGACAACTTTGGATCTTAACCGTGAACCAACCACCAAGATGAAATCAACCACCAATGAGATTAACGAAATTACAATTGTCAAGAACACTGGAATTTTTAAGGATACTGACGGTACTTATAAGTATTCAGATGAAGGAGCCACTGCTAACCAAGCCTATCCCATACCTGAAGGAGGCATTACAAATGAATTCCTTTACCAAACTATAATGACTCAACATAGAGAAACCTCCCGGGCCATTGCTTCTCTCTGAAACCTTGTACTTACCTCTCGCCGCACCAACACTGACAACTTTGTTGTATCTGATGAAGAAAATGAAGGACAAGAGGAAGAAGAGGAGGAGGATATGGCTGATGAGGACATTTAGAGAATATGTTGCTGTTGCTGTCTTTTATTGCTTTCTAGTTATTAAGTTTTTAAGTGTTTAAAACTTATGTTCTTAACTTTGTTTCATTTGCGTTGTACTCGTACACTACTTTCGTTGCACTCTGTTGCATGTTTAATTCTACTTTCGTATGTTTTGCTTACCTACTTGATTGTTCTTTTGATTGCATTCATAATTATCGATAGTTTCTAGTTTTGTTTGAAAGCTCCTTCCTTTTTGCTAATGAAAAAGGGGGAGAAGAGCTTGGGCTTTCTAATGTCTATGTGTGTAGAATTTTTGCCTGTTCTTATCCTCTGGTTTTAGAAAGGGGGAGTTCATGGACATAGGGGGAGAAACAAGACCAGAACCAAAAATCGTCAAAGCACTGCACAAGACTCAATTGGTTGTAAGTGGTTGTCATCATCAAAAAGGGGGAGATTGTAGAAGCATGCTTCATCTCAAGGCTTCAAGGTTTTGATGACAACAACAACAAGATTCAAGATCATTTCATCTGTTCAAAAAATCAGAAGCTTTAAAAAGACCAAGATCAAAGTATTATGAAAGTGATCAACATTCAAGCTTCATGTACATTTGCTCGATCATCTTTCAAGACTTGGACACAAGCTATGGTATATCAAATTCTCTACTTTAATTGATATACAAGTGTTCAAAACTATAAAATATTTTTGCATAATGCATTAACATGTTTTAAAATCATTTGGAATTGGTATAACACTTTTAAATTAATTATTTTTCAAAGTTTTTACAGTGTTAACCGATTAACCATATAGGTTAATCGATTAACGCCCTAAAATTTTAAATTCTTTGGGCCAACGTTATAGTGTTAACCGATTAACCTATATGGTTAACCGATTAACACTGAACGTTTTCTGAAAAATAGTTTGATTTCAAGTTCAAAAATTATTTAAATGTTATACCTTTCCATATGTTAACTGATACTAAAATATACCCTTTTGAAAAGGTGTTTTGGATGATATAAATTCTGAAAATTTCATATTAACAACAACCTCCAACAATTTTCAAAAACAATCATTGAATCATATTCACTACTTTTCAAATAATTTCAAATACATTTAAAAGTGTTCATACTTGCATAACCTTTCACATTCATTTGTTTGAACACTTGTATTGAGATTAAGTTGTGAATTCTGATTAAAGGAGAAAATCAATCTTTGTATTGATATTACTATTGTACTCTCAAATTACAAAAATAATTACAGAATAGTCTGTTGTGACTTGTGATCCAGGATTGTTGGACACAAGGGTTAGTGTTTTGCAAGAGGATTGTTCTTGCACACTAGTTTGTTTTATTTTTAGATTGTAGGCCTCACTGGTTGATGGTGTGATAGGTTGTACTTTCTAAAACAATAGTGAAAACTCTCTTTCATGTGGAAAGGGGAGTGGAGTACCTTCGGATTGTGAAGGGAACCACTATAAATCTTGGTGTCCACTTTCTTTATGCTTTCTACTGCATTCATCACCAAGAACATA